TGTAGACTGTTGTAAATCGATGCGAAGACAAAAGAAGTGTGAAACAATGCATACGAAGACGATTATTTGGTTCGAACGATGAGCGAGTGAGCTACTAGAGCAAGCCACTATAGTGGCGCGTCGTCCAGAGAGATGAAATCCGCGAAAGCCACTATAGTGGCGCGTCGTTCTGAAAGATGACACGCGGAAGCCACTATAGTGGTGCGTCGTGCCTAAAAGGTTAAAATGACTGCTGGCCAATATATCAGCGCGACGAGCCGCGCATATTAACCCGCGGTATTGATAATCTTATAGAAGCCCCTCGAACAATAGGCAGCCGTATCGTTTGGCAGTAGCAATGAAAGGGTTAAAACGAGGCCGAGGCAAACGACGATTGGACTATCGATCTACTCACAGCGCACGTTGAGAAAATAACCGATGCTGGTGAATATGCCGAGCATGTGCCTGGTGTAACATTTGTACCAGCCGCTCTCGGCGCGGCTGATTTTTGTGAAGTTCAGCCATCCGTCGTCGCTCTGCTCGACGGGCGGTCCATTGTCTGAAACACAAACGTGGAGGCTGGTTGGGTATATGCGAATTAACTCGCTGGAAACATCGCGCGGTGAAACGTCGTCCGAGCGAGCGCGAGCCCGGTCTTCGCCGCGTGTTCCCGCTAGTTCCCGCGGGTTCCCGCGGGTTCGCGCAGCTAGCTGGCTACCGATTAAGCGGCTGGAATTACGCGGACGACTCTGGCGCGATGCCAGAACGACGCAGCCACAGAGAGCAAGAAAGAGAGAGAGAAAGAGAGCAAGACAGAGAAAGAGAGATAGAGAGAGAGAAAGAGAGATAGAGAGAGAGATAGAGAGAAAGGAAAAGAGAGATAGAGAGAGAGAGAGAGAAAGAGAGATAGAGAGAGAGAGAGAGAAAGAGAGATAGAGAGAGAGAGAGAGAGAGAGAGAGATAGAGAGATAGAGAGAGAGAGAAAGAGAGAGAGAGAGAGAGAGAGAGAGAGAGAGAGAGAGAGAGAGAGAGAGAGAGAGATAGAGAGAGAGAGAAAGAGAGATAGAGAGAGAGAGAGAGAAAGAGAGATAGAGAGAGAGAGAGAAAGAGAAAGAGAAAGAGAGATAGAGAGAGAGAGAAAGAGAGATAGAGAGAGATAGAGAGAAAGAGAGAGAGAGAGCGACCTGGTCGCGTTATTGTCCTTTGAAAAATTCCACCACGCGCAAAAATTACGCGTCGTCGACTCAGAATAAATACGAGCGCGTCAGCTTGTTATAATAATGCACTGTGCGAGCGCGATCCACCGTCTACTGCAATTGAAAGCGTCGGACAGTTTCATCGTATTCAGTGTTCGCAAATTGCATCAAAAAGTATTAAAGGTCATGGGACGATCGTATGATGATCGTGTACAGATCGCTCTCAATTTCATAAAATGGAATCGTGCGAGAATAGGTATCGCGATTTAACGCAACTTCGAATCACTTCAAACAAGGTGAAACGATCTGAAGCAGCTGCACATCCTGTTCACGCGATGCGCCACAGACGAAGACGCTTCTTTACCGTCTACATTGGCATAGAGTCAGTCATGAAAATTTATACACTTGTAAAATGAAATAACTTTCTTTAAATCGGACTAAATGACCTGAATTTTTTTGACGGAGGGACTAGTCTATTAGACAATAACTAAAGTGCTTCTTTCTTTTTTTTAATTTTGTATTATTAGAAATGACAAAAAATAATGAACTCACGTTCTTCAACTTCTCTATCTGAATGTGTAAGGGAAATTAAAAAAATTCTTTTTGAAAATCTCGGTAACTTTTATGCGTGCTGAAAATCTCATCGAAATCGGTTAACGGAAAGTGGAGCTACAAGTGTTGAAAGATTTAAAAAAAAAACAGCATATTTCTAAGATATTGATCGAAAGTATAAAAAGTCGGAACAAAACTGTGATGTTCGCGATCTTTAATTGTTCGTAACTTTCAACAACGTCAACCGATTTCGACGAAATGTACCACCAGTTACATGACACTCTGTATTATAATTAATCCGAAGACAGAAATTTTGGAGTCAATTATTCTTCAATGTATCATGCTACGTTGGTTTGCTTTCAATGCAAAGGGTGTCTGTCGTTAAGTCAAATGTCGGATTGGTTTCACGGAAGGGCAGCAACCCGTTACCCGCAAATGATGCATTGTTTCTGAGCTTGTTGCCAACCTCGGACCACGAACAGTGGTACGACAAGCTTCGTTACCCTAACCCTGCAGATGTACTGCATTAAGGCTAGATTGGCGAGAAGCATCGCTGTTCAGTCAGGAGTAAATGCTTTATGCCTATTTGCATTTTTGTCAATGGCTTTCGAAAAACTTAGAGTCGGATACGATTTTATTTTCGATATGAACAATATAACCTTGACATAAGCAATAAGAAGAATTTTATTGAATCCTGTTGGATTTTCAATTTGCACATTTCTCGATAATTTGTATAAATTGAAAGGAAATCGAGGATAAGAACATACATACGTCACACTTGAAGTACATATAAGAGAGAT